ATGGACGTGCGCGTCGTGCTGGATTCCTTGAACTGGACTGACGGCGATTCCTTGATCGGTTCGGTGCTAGGTGATTTTTGTTTAAGGGCACGCATACCAAATTGAGTTTTAGATAGAACGGGTTCCTAGGACGGGGCCATTCCTCCCGTGGCGCTTGTCTAGGACACACGAACTGGACAGCGTTCCCCCATTTCAGGGACCCTTTTCCCGTACACGTCTTCATTGCAGCGCAATCATGTATGAACAGGCACGCGCGTTTCCTGGGGGCATGCCATGCATTGGTTCGCAGTGCACGCCGCAGGAACACGCATGAGGCAGAGGCCAAGCGGCAAGAGTATGCCCTGTCTGGCCTGGAGATGCCTGTGCAGCTGCTGTGGTTCCGTGTGCGTCAGCGTCTACCAGACGACGAGCCTTGAGAAACATTACATGCAAATTCGTTTACCTGCAAATTTGTGCGGGTAGGAATCAACCAAGACGAGTTCCGAAAGCACACGGCCAACGCATGAGGGTCAAAGCAATTTGCGGCCGAGGGGGGGCCGGCGTCCTGCCTCCAGGAAGGCGGCGCATGTGTTGAGAAAGGCTTAAAATCAGCGTCACGGAGGCTGAGCCGTGTTGTTCTTTGGAAGTTGCAGTTGTTTTGCTTTTTGCCTGCATGAAATCGATGTGTGACTCGCAAAGAAGGAAGATATATGACCGCGGCTCGTATATGATGATATATATATATATATAAAAGAACATGTGGGTTTGTGGGGCGTGTCCCTTGCATGTCTTGGCCACCCCCCGCAAAAGCGACTTGGTGCCAGATTTGACCACAGGGTATGGCGAACAGTGACCAAAGAGGGCAGGTAATGTGACTTCCCATGAGGTAGACAAGGCAATCTCCCGCAAAATCTGGTTGACCGATTTGTTGTGTTTGTTTGGCTCCCAGAACATGAGTGGGGGTGAAGGTAAGGCAGGTGCTCCCCTTTTCCGGGAGTTGCCCTGGTCATACAGTACAAGCCTGCCTTGACATAGGAGATGACTATACTATACATATCTAGTTGGACCCCTGCGACAGATTGGTGTACTAAACAATGCCGTTCCAACCTGGGCGCTGTTTGTCAAAACAGCCCAAGGAGCACGTGCATCATGCCGTCCTGGCCTACCAGAGCGATGCGGGCTTGCTGAGTTGCCTGGCACAAAGGGGAAGGCAGCTTCCTGAAGCGAACGGTTGCACCTGTTGTGGAGATATTGGATGGTTTGCTTGTCCTGGAAACTCAAAACAAAACATGGAAACTCAAGACAACATCCTTCTTCATGAACGAGCGGACGCTGTCGTGGTTCCAGATGGAAGTTCGGGGAAGACACATTACATCTAGGACAGAGATGTCCCCCTCGCTTGGCAACCTGCCCACGTTCGATGTTTGCTTGCTTTGGCTGGCCAAACGGCGTGAGATGTACAAGGGGAATCGCCGCTTTCCGGACCTCAAACCCAAGCGGTATTTTGGTAGGCGACCTCTTGGGGACTTGCTGCTTGGGTATGAGGTGCCCATGGCCTGACATCTTGGAGCATCACGATTGCTCTGTCTCAAGTTTCAAGAGTAGACAACTTGATCATGCAAGCAGGGCGGTCTGCTCACTTTGATATGCTTCGCCTAAAAGTGAGTCCGGCTTTCTCTTGAAGAAAAGTCACAGTTGTCCCAAATGCGTGGCAAAAGGATCAGTTTGTTGCTCAGCAGGCTTTCAAGGACATTTTGACAGGCAACAGATAGTATTGTCAGCCTCGCAGGACCTCGGCCTTGGCCCAAGTCTGAGCATCATAAGAGGTCCCCCCTTCTGAATTGTTGGCACGCACGAGTGCGCTGCTGCGTGTGACAACAGCGAAAGGAGAAGTCCAGAACTGTTGACACACGGCCAAGAACCAGCCGTTTGAATGTGGCCTTCAGGCACAGCACGTGTGGAGATGCCCTGGCGCTCCTTCTGGGAAGCAAGGCCAATGATGGCGTCCCTGGATCACGCTTCTCGGCTGGGGGTGAGCTTTGGATGAGCTCTCAGCCACCGAACAGGTTGGATTTTGTGAATTCGCACCTGACCATACTCGGAACCGTTTTGTTCGCCTTCCCTTGCGACAAGTAGTGCAGGGTACAAGTTGTGCTGGTGCTGCGCTCGAATGCTTGTTGGCAGCACCTGTCCTACAAGAAATGTTGACTGGCCCAACTGTGTTCTTGATGCACACTTGTTAGCCCACTTAACTCATCCGGACCTTGCATAACACACCAGCGCAGTCATACCTGAGAATCTCCATTTGTACTGAAATGTGACTTTGTGTGTGTGCGCGTGTGTTTCAAAACACAAGGTTCCCTCCGACTGGTTGGTTTCATGTCCGCTCCCAGTACTGTATTGCTTCATTCGTGCGCCTTGGCGTCTGCGCATCACAAGACCGCGTTTGCCAAAATTTGTCACAGCACCACAGCTGCAGCCTTCACCTTAGCTGACCTATGAGTGTGGGGTCCGGAAGAAATCGCTTGCAAGGCCATGTGGTTTCATCATCCCTTCCCTCGGTGGCGAGCGGACGAATGGCTGCTTTATGAGCCTCGGCAAGGGCTTTGTGTTTCCGGCATTTGGCCTCAGGCTTGAATTTGGTACCTCACGGTCGAAGGATTACATGGCATAGTTGTCCCCTACCATCACGGGGCATCGGGGTTCTAAAGGAGGCTCTATCACCAATAAGAACCTGGAATGAATAAGAAAGGATAAGACCTCAAGTAGTTCTAAAATAAGATCTGAGAAAGGCCATGGACAATAGATCCCTTAAAGATAAATGCCTTGCGCCGCATGGTGCTAAGGCGCCAAATTTGTTTCAGCTTAGACATGCGGGGGCAGGGTGTCAACTACTACTTGCATTGGTCCAAACCAAAGGAGGAAGGCACCAGAAGAAACCTGTTCATGCTTTTCCCCTGCTTTGCAACCTTTCTCTTTCTTGCCTGATTGAACATCCAGCCAACCTTTTGGGTGCAGGCGGTTCTCTTGGCAAGCACCGTAGATACCAAAGACTGCAAGGCCTCTGAAGATAGGGGTGGTTTGTTTTTTTGAGGGTGTGAAAGGGAAGCTTCAAAAAAAGGCCCCCATCTTGGGGGTTCATCCCCATGTTGAGACACACCTCATGTTTTCCACGGGGGTCAGTGCACATTACGCTGAGGTCATGTACTCCCCACGGCTCACCGGTGCACGGGGGCTTTCCCATGGCCACATCTTTACCCGCGATGGGTGGCTGGCAGCAAGGTTGCAAGCGACTCACCCGTTGCCTTGTGAGGAAATCCGCAGCTGTGGATGAAATCCGTTCGCACCACCGAAAACATGGTTGAAACCGTTGTTTGTTGGTACATACAGGAGGATCATGAGAAACCAGGGCTTCTGAACGGTGGTGCGAACGGATTTCGTCCACAGGATCACTATGGGGGAGAATAAAGCTACACATGCACTAGTCAGCGCTGTAAAAGGTTCCTAGCTTGAGGATTCCATTTCAGTTGCCCAGCGTTAAACTGGAATTTCGGGTCAGGAATTTCGCCGGCCCGACTGGCCGTCAAGCAGACTCGTCAATTGGGCTGCGGCTTGAAAGGCGCCCATTGGCACCAATCAGTATATCAGGAAGCATATGTACACATATATATATATATATATGGTCACCCCCCCCCCCATACCTTTGCCCTCTTCTAGTTAAAGGTGTCAACTCTACTCTGTGTGCCTCTTTCTTGCAGATGCCTGAAAACACTGTAAAATACAGTGTTTTTGTTGTTGGTTTTTTTTACCTTCTATGTGACAGCAAATGTCTGATTATTTGAGGCTTGAAAGGCAGCAAAGCGAAAACGGATTCCGTTTTCAGATTCGAGCCTGGCTTTGATTGAATCACTGGTTTTTACAGTGGTTTTGAGTACACCAGGGAAAAACATTGAAAAAAAGATGTTTTTGGCAGCTTTGAGCTCTGCAACCTGCACAGACCCAAAAGCACAACATCTCCTGAAAATGAAAGCTCTGAGACCTGCACATGCCAAACACATCTCCAGACCAAGTTTGGGAGTCTGGGGATATGTGCCCTTTATTTGTTTAGCCACATTTAAGCTAAAGCATATTTGGGAATGAGTTACTATTAAAATTTGATTGCAAAGGCCAAGTGATTTCTTTCCAGAATAAGCTATATTCCAATTCAAGCTGTATTTGGGGATGGATTCTTGATTAAATTATTATGTTCAAAAGCTAATTGATTTCTGTCTGCATTAAAGTATATTTGGATTCTACTGCAATCATATTTTCCTTATTTGGAAAGGTATTCCTGTTCAAATTCTGATCTAATATAGACATTATGGTGAATTATGAATGGTGGTGAATTATGTGCTTACTAAATTCTATTCAATATGCAAATTCAATTCGGATCAAAATCGTATTTGGAAAGGAATGTGTACTTGGATATGTTGGACTCCAGGCTCCAAATTATGAGGCTTGGAGAATCCAACATTAGACATCTCAAGGATTCTGATCTCCAGATTCTAGGTGTCAGGTGTTTCAAATTGGACATTTCAAGGGATTAGAGATCCAACAAATGCTGTAAAACACAGTGTTTTGCAGCAGTTGCTCAGATTGTGTTCCCTTGGACCGAAGATTGTTTTCCCCAAACAACAGTTTTCCCTTCAACATTCCAATTCAATTCGCAGTATATTTGGAAAGGAATCTATATTTAAAAATGTTGGAGTACTCCAGGCTCCAAATTATGAGGCTTGGAGAATCCAACATTAGACATCTCAATGATTCTGATCTCCAGATTCTAGGTTTCAGGTGCTTCACCATGGACATTTCAAGGGATTGCAGGTCCAACAAAAAACTGTAAAACAAAGTGTTTTGAAGAAATTGCTCAGATTGTGTTCCCTTGGGCCGAAGATTGTTCATTTCCCAAACAACATTTTGCCCCCTTCAACATTCCAATTCAATTCGCGTTGGAGTACTCCAGGCTCCAAATTATGAGGCTTGGAGAATCCAACATTAGACATCTCAAGGATTCTGATCTCCAGATTCTAGGTTTCAGGTGTTTCAAATTGGACATTTGAAGGGATTAGAGATCCAACAAAATGCTGTAAAACAGAGTGTTTTGCAGCAGTTGCTCAGATTGTGTTCCCTTGGGCCGAATGGACAGCCTTTGATATAACAATGCAGCAGTGATGACACACCCACACACAATCATCAACCTTTTAGGACCACATGCCCAAACCACATCAAACAAGGCCTCAAATGAGTGTCCTTTTTTTTCCCAAACAACAGTCTCCACTTGCTACGCAATAAGCCTACAGAAGGTTTATAAACTTTCAGGAAAGTTTATAAACCTTATTGAGTGTTTGACGAGTTTCCCGCGTCAAGGCAACAACACCCTACGAAGTGTTCATGGTATCGTTGAAGGATGGGGGGGGGGGGGTTGGGGGGGGAGGGGGGGGGGGGGGTGGGGGTGGGGGGGGGGGGGGGGGGGGGGGGGGGGGGCAGGGGAGGGGGGTGAAGCCAACTTTAAAGGGGGGGGGGGGCACCCCCCAAAAAATGGTAAAAGTAGGGGGCCTGGGGGGTGGCCTGTTGATGGTTGCCTGTTCTGGTTTTTATGTTCATCTCAAATCTGTGTTCCCCCTTATTCGTTTTTAAAAGAGGGTTTTTAGGGAGCTTATTTATCGTTTTCGTTAAGGTAATCATTTTGGTAATTGCCCCCCTTGTTCATTGTTGGGCTGGGGGCAAACATTTTTTTCATTTGAAAGAGTTAACCCTTTTAGTAGTTATCAAGTTCTGGGGTGTTGGTGGTGTATTTGTTTTGTTAGTGTTTTTCTCACTAATTTTCATTTATAGGTTAAAAGTTCAGTATAATTATAACATATAAGATTTTACATGTTATTATTATATTATGATTATAATTTCAGTTCAGGATAATAATCTAATTGGTTTGTCTTACTTCTTTCATACATCATTTTAAAAATAATATTAACATCTCTCACTGTATTCTGAACATTAAACTTTTTACTTTCAATAAATAATTTGATATTTTCTTTAACATCTTCTCCTTTCTCTTGACTATAACCCAACATCCATAATATATCGTAAATCGTGTCATATTTTTTCTTACTGATTTTAAGAAACTGTTTAACATAATCATAAGGTGGTAT